AAAAGAACAGATTTATAGAGACAGTTCACCCAAATTTTGAAATTCTGTCATTAAAGCTGCAGTCCGTAGCTTTTCCTCTTTGTCGCCATCTCTGTTCGAAATCTGCAATTGGAGTTATTCGCGTAATTATCATCTTTACGTGGGATGTAAATCGCATGAAACAGCGCGGAAGAACACAGTGTTTTGAGGCGAGTGCTGCTGTCAATCACAGCGCTGTGTGGATACTGTCATACAGAATCACAGATTTACTTTTTGAAAGTTTGACCAACATAAGAATATTCACAGGAAAATGTCTTCTGAACAAGTAAGTAACATCCATTTCGTTCTGATCAACTATAAGGGGGAAAAGCATTCGACATGATAAGCGTCGTTGCGATTTACAGCAACCGTGCAAATTATAGCCTACTTTGTTCTCCAATTGTTCATGTTAACAACATCAGCATTGCGTGATTATGTTAAATTGAATCTGTTTTATGGTTACCTGTGTAGTTCAGAATTCATATTCTCCATAATAGCAAAACGAGAAAGGCAAACAAAGGAAACGCTGATTAAGAAAACGTACTGTTACCCGATTGAACTATTGAAATGTCTTACTTGTTCAGCAGAAAAAAAACAGTCTCTTCTCCCGTTTTGAAACCCTTCAAAACATGGAGTTAACGCACTTTTCAAAAGCCCCGCCGATGTTTAAATCCTTGTGTTCGCATGAGACGGTTTCTTTCTCTTTCTCTAGACACCTTAAATCTGAAGTACGAAGTCTTTTGGGTTTAATAACTTCTGAATCTACAGTTGACACTAATGATTGTTGTTTTGATCTTTCTGGATGCCATAAGTTTAATTATGTGTAGTGCTGCGAGAAAAGCCTATACATCTTTACATCTCTCCTCACGCTCAGTAGCCGGCTAGCCGAAACTCCTTCTTTGTGTTTACTGGTGTGACGTAATGACGCAAAGACATGCTCGAATTTCCAGCGGAAACCCACCAGTACCACTGGAATTAAAATCAGCATTACAAGCTATCCGTTTTGAATCTAGCTATGGCAAGCAGATAGTTTTGACCACTGTCTTTATTTAAACCTTGTTAATACAAGTGAGTGTCCAGTGGAGGGGATTGTGGTTCCCTCCAGCCAGTGTCGCCATTCCTTGAAGGCAGCTTTCATGGTCAGAAGTTCACTATCTGCCACTTCATAGTTTCTCTCAGCGGCGTTGAGCTTTCTTGAGTAGAACGCACAGGGGTATAGTTTGGGTGGAGATCTCTGCCGTTGGGACAGTACAGCGCCTTGGCCAGTGTTACATGCATCCACTTCCACCACTAAGGGCAGCATGGGATTGTGCAAGATAGGAGCAGACGTGAAGTGTTGTCTCAACTGATTAAAGGCACGGATGGCTAGCTCATTCCAGGGAAGACGTAATGTACCCCTTTTCACCAGAGATGTCAGAGGATTTGCCACAGTGTTGAAGTTCTGGATGAAGCGACGGTAGAAGTTAGTAACCCGGCTCGGACTTTGCCTTCGTCCACCCTGCTGAAAAATCCAGCTAAAACCAGCCAAGGCTGGTTGGCTGGTTTTGGCTGGTCTCCCAGCCTGGTTAGTTGGTTTATCAGGCTGGTTTTAGAGGGGTTTTGAACACTTTTTCAGCTGGTCAGGCTGGTCTTAGCTGGTCAAGTTGGTAGCCAGGCTGGGAGACCAGCTTAACCAGCTAAGTCAGGCTGGGAGACCAGCTTGACCAGCTAAGCCAGGCTGGGTGACCAACTAAAACCAGCTACTTCCAGCTTAAACCAGCTAAGACCAGCCAACCAGCCTAGGCTGGTTTTAGCTGGATTTTTCAGCAGGGCATGGCGACGCCCTCAGGACTGATGACGCACCCCAAGAATGTGGTCGAGGTCAGATGGAAGTCGCATTTCTCAAACTTAGCGCACAACTGGTGCTGGATGAGTCTTTCAAGGACTGCTCGGACGTGCTGAATGTGGTCCTTCAAGGTGTCGGAGTAAGTTAAGATGTCGTCAATGTAAATGATGACTGTACGATGGAGCATGTCTCAGAACACCTCGTTGATGAAGGCCTGGAACATGGCTGGACTGTTTGAGAGGCCGAACGGCATGACCAGATATTTTCGTAGTGCCCAGTGCAAGTGGAGAAGGCTGTTTTCCACTTGTCCCCTTCGTAAATGCGAATAAAGTTGTAGGCACAGTGTAGGTCGAGCTTGGTGTAGAATTTGGCCGTGCGGATTAGTTCCAGGCTGCTGGCACTAAAGGAAGCGGGTAGTGGAATTTAATGGTCTGGTCATCGAGGGCTCGATAATCAATACAGGGTCAGAGTTGGGGTGTGTTAAGAAGGTTATGTCCTTGAGTTTTCAGTACAATAATTGTGTTGTGAGCTGAAGGAAAAGTAAATGAGAATCAGAAGAGTAGCCCTCTTGTTGCTGTAATATGGTAAATGCAGTGATTCTTGTCCCTATTACGATGATATAACTAATGTAATTCAGTCAAACTACCACTCAATTCAATGTATGAAGCACAGGTGCTGCATTGATATAATTTGTTTTTAGGGAGAGCTGCACATCTAATTTTAGATGCATTTAAAAATAGCAAACTTTTCCCAGTCACGATTTGCATTCCTCGCACTTGGTGGCTGATTTGTTTTCTCTCTGCAGACATTATCCAAATAAAATAAAACTCATACATGACTTTATTAGTTTGCAAACCAACACTGTAAATCACTTTTTAGTTCATGACACAATAAGAAGGTTGAGGGTTTGATGAAACTTTATAGCTAAAAAAGTTGTGTAATGAAGAAAAAGAGAGGCAAAGTAAAACAAGACGAGGAGGAGAGGGCTGAATTTGTTGTCTTGGAGACTGTTGCTAAGTAGCAATATCAGGGAAGCATGGTTACAGTGTGATCTAAAAGGGAGACACACTTTTTTGAGATTGTGCTTTAAAATGTGCAATACATTTAACAATGGTAACATGACAGGTGTGGTTTCACACTTTTAAGGAAATGCGTAGCTCGTGCGCACTCATGAGGGTGGGAGTTAAGTCTAGACTTGAATGACCAAAATTATTTTTAGCCCAAGCAGTGAGAGACCCCTGGAGAATGGGAGCATTAATTATGACGTGAGGAAGAGAGAGAACAAGTGAGCAAGATTGATTTAATCAACAATACACACAATTAGCTCAAAGGACTTTTTTCAAACTGTGAATTAATTTGTGGATTAGATTGCTTAAAATATGTATTAGAATACATAATGTTGTGTGTTCAGCTGTGACCGTCATCCCACTTCCACCCAAAGACCATTTTCAGGCTTATAAGTCATTTATGGCACACCTGGGGATAATTTCTTAATAAAAAATAGACACTGATGACTAACTTAGACATGTGACCAGACATGCCAATCACAGACTATGTGGTTTTTTAAATAAATGTACTTAAAAAAAAAATAAATAAAAAAATAAATATAATAGCCTCTTACTATATGCTATGTTTTGTGAAAGGGCCCCCCCTGCTGGTTATAGGATTTCACAATACAGGATTTACACACTTTTTATGCTTGTGATGTTCATCATGCATCTTTCAGAAGCTTTGTAAAATTATAACAGTACATAACTATTGTCAATGCTTGCAAATGCAATGTATTTACTGCTTATTAGCCCTGAAAAAAGATATAAGTCGCTTTGGATAAAAGCGTCTGCTAAATGACTAAATGTAAAAGTAAATGTTTTTATTAGCTGAGTCAACATTTTTAATTGTCTTAAACGCATTTTTTGTATTTTCCTAATTTGGCATAAAAATCATCATTATTCTGTTTGCACAAAAAGAACTACAAAATTCGACCGCTTTACGGCATACATCATATTGTAAAATATTCACATTTAAAAATGAATCAAAAAGTTAAACAAACATCTTTAAGATGTTTTCTTTACATGTGAAATAAAGAAAACAGTTACAAACTGAAACAGGAAGTGTTTCTGGACCAGTGTTGTTTACATCTTGTGAAATGGTCTATAGAGCCTTTGCAGTAAAGGCCAGTATAAGCCTCCACTTATATCCACTGATATCAGATCTGCTAAGTCGATCTCTCTTTTGAAACCCCATTTAAATAGACTTGCATTTATCAACATAGAATCTGTCTTTTTATTGTATTTTATTTACCAACTGATATTGTATTGCCTCTTTAATGTTTATGACCCGTTAATGTGTTAACTTGAGCTATATTTTAATTGTGTCTTTTTCTTTTGTGTTTATCATGGATAGCAACAGAACAGTTTATATGTAATGCAGCACCTATGTTTACAGCAAGGTGGATTCAAACAATACGCCATATATAAATATATATATAATATTACCTGAAACACATTTAGTGACAAACTAAGATGTTTTAATGGAAATTTCACAGGATTCACAGTAACTCTAAACAGTAAAGATGCATCTGCCTCTCTGTTTCAGTTCTACATCTAGAGTCTGTCACTCTTGTTGTAGGTTCTGGACTCTTGGCACAGGTTGTGCTGAATCATGGGATATGGAACAAAGCGTGGCTGGGTGAAAACTGACAACTAATGAAATAACTTTGTGGGGTATCAAAAGAAAAGGGAGGGTAGGATGGCGAGGGGTTAGGATGTTTGGCTGGCACTTCTTCAGCCCTCCCAGTGCCAGCCGGTCAGCCTATTAGGACCTGACTATGAGCGTGTTCTGGAGAGAGATATGTTTTGGCAGTGTTTCCGCCCCTGAGCTTCCGATATATATTGAGCCTCTGATGCCACCACACAGCGTCTGACACACACCCTGAAGCTGGTAAGACATACATATTATTGCTTGCTGTATTATTGTTTTTGTGTTATTTTCATCTCCACCATTTTATCTACTTAAGTATGGAATATAACTCAGCTATTCCACTCATGCAGACTGTTATGCTTTTGCAATATTCAGTCATCTACACTCTCGACACTAATAATAATATAATTGCTTGCTTCCTACTCAATCCCTAATTTGATTTCTGAACAAAGCTCATCACACCCATCCTGGTTCACTATGGCAACTGATCACCAGCACCCTACAACCAAGCAAAAACAACCAGTTGCCAGTGCCTTCAAGGTACAAACACGACGTCAGACACAGAGTACCTGTGGTGTATGTTATCCGCTATTCCTACTAATCTTCCTTTCATACTTTCTTCCTTCAAAGTTGGTGATCTACGAACAGGAAAACTTTCAAGGACGCTGCCATGAGCTGACTGGGCCCTGTAACAACCTCCAGGAGGCGGACGTGGAGAAAGTGGGCTCAATCTTGGTGCTGTGTGGACCGTGAGTTTGTGTGTGAGAAGAAAAACAGCTGAAACACAGAAACAACACAAGTTCAGTCTGAACTGTTATTTTGTTCCACTACCAAATGATTTAAACAAAGTGACAGCTGGCTTCAGACTTTACTTGGTAAAATTCAACACATCGACTAGAACTAAATATGTAGACCGAAGCAACAGCTAAAAAATTCCACTTCGGTTTTTCAATTTCACCACTAAAGAAAACAGTCCTGGTCCTGGACTTAAGTGAAAACACTGCAGTTAAGCCGAAATTGGGCTTGACAGAAATACTTGTATTGAAAACAACTTATATTCTAACAATGATACAATTCTTTAGATAATATGCCAGGTGGATTTTGTGAGGGAGGAGCTCTGGAAGCAGATTGGCAAATTGTTGATAGTAAAAAAACAAAACAAACAAAAAAAAAACCTAATGTCATTTATGGAAGAATTTTCAATATCTTGAAATGTTAAGTTTAGATTACCCACTGTACTGTACATAGTTTATTTTCGAAAAAGGATTACCGATTAGGATTACCAACCCCTAAAGGACGTCAGTCTTTAGGTAAGATCATTTATTTACGAAAACAGACGGATTATTAGAGTTTTTATAGTTGCATAATGCGTAATTGTATGTAAAATATAGTTTAAGTGTAAGAGTTGCATATTTTGAGTTGTGGTATTTGGATTTGTTTAAAAACGTCAATGGAACCATTTTGATTGGCCAATGGGCTGGTTTTGTTACACATAATCTGGTAACCCTGTCCCAGACATCATGAAACAAATCATTATCGCTCTAGTCTTTTCTGGAATGCTATAACACAGACATCAGGACTCATTTGTATCGCTTTGTATCACTCCTCATTGAGGAGTGATACAAAGGGTCAAATGTCCCAGTGCTGTTACATTAGCAATGGGACATTTTAAAATAACTGAGCGAGAAATCATGACAAAGAAGTTCACTTTTTTGTTCAAGGTGGGTGGGATATGAGCAGCCCGGCTGTAAGGGGGAACAGTATGTGTTTGAGAAGGGTGAGTATCCTCGCTGGGACGCCTGGACCAACAGCAGACGCAGTGACTGCATCGTCGCCTTCCGCCCCATTAAAGTGGTAAATAATAAATAGCTGCAGGGTTATGAAATGTCATTGTCCTGTATATACAGTACCAGTCAACATTTTGCACACTTATTCTTCATCATAACTGGATTACACATTTTAGAATAACAATAAGGTCATTGTAAAACCCTATAAAATACTAATTGTTGATAAATTGTGTGACTAAACATTTTAAACAAGTCAAAGCTAAGTAACATTTTAGGTTCTACCAGTCCTTGAGGCACATGTAAAGGGAGTCACTGCCTATATATATATATATATATCCAAAGGGATTCTTTCAATATACTTTTCTACACTTCTTATGTTCCCACAGGACAGCCAGGAACACACGATCGTACTCTACGAGAACCCAAACTTTGCCGGGAAGAAGATTGAGATCGTAGATGATGACGTTCCTAGCTTCCACGCTCATGGATACCATGAGAAAGTCTCTTCAGTTCGTGTGCAGAGTGGCACGTGAGTACAAACTAAAAATAATACATGATACATTAATCTCACATCAAGGACAGTTTCTGATAGTTTCCATGTCCTCCTGTATAACAACAGTTTTGCTTCACTTCTTGTTTTAATCTCCATTACAGCTGGGTGGGCTATCAGTACCCAGGATACAGAGGCTACCAGTATTTGTTTGAGAAAGGAGAGTTTAAGGAGTGTTCTGAGTTTGGGGCCCTGCTTCCTCAGATCCAATCCGTGAGGCGCATTCGTGACATGCAATATCACCCAAGAGGGGCATTTCAAACCTCTAACTAAATTCCCAGCAATAGTTCCCCCAAGCTTCTGAAACACCCCCTCCTTTACCCACTCTTCACTTTTGAATGCTTATCTTTGACCTTTTCAATTGTGTCAGTGATTCCATTTGCTACTGCTGAGAAATAAATAAGTGATTTTGCGTTATGAATGTTTCTGAGCTTTTATTTGGTCGATCACTGTTTTGTAAGTGGATTGGACCTTTTGTTTGATTGGATTTATAATTCATTTATTAAATTCAGTCTCTTTCAAAACATACTAATTCAAATGTATTTCTATTTCTATTTACAAAGAACTAAATATTTTCAAAAGGGGACTCGTTTTGATATCCCTACACAAATATGCCTGGTCCTGACCTCATGCACAACAGCAACAAAAACGAACATCTTGAAAACACTTTAGCTTCTGCCTCAGAGAAAATGTTTAAATGGAATATCACTAAGACATCACATTATTGTAGACAAAAAATATGATTTAAAAAGTCATACACAGCAGTCATATTGCACGCCTTCACTTTTGTGGCCACCTAATATTTGTGAAATTCAAATTGCTTTGAATTTGAATATAATTTGATTTAGTTTAAAATGTATGTGAATTCCTGTTGTGTAATATTAAAAACATTTGAAATACTATTTGAATATATTTTAATATGTAATTTAATCCTGTGATGCAAAGCTGTTTGTTTCACCATAATCACTGCTGTTTTCGGGCCAAGAATCTGCTGCTCAAGAAACATTACTTATGTATTTCAATGTTGGAAACATCTGCATTATTTCCTCCAAAAAAGAATGTGCATGTGCTAATTGCTAACAATGGCTAATTTTCATCCGTTGTCCCTTTTTCAATTTGATGTTAAGGACATGCACAAACAACACAAAATAAACAAAATAAAATAAAAAATACCATACCAGATTATCTATAAATGTTCACAATTTTGGTTCAACATTAGCCATATTAAAACCACAATGACCTGTTATTTGTTTTCTTTCAACTCCATTGGAAGTCTATTCCACTCATATGTTCCTCTAACAGCCAAAGATAGCTGACCAAATTTAGTTCTTTTCGTGGTACTTTACAATCACCCCTAATACCAGCGTCCTGTTATCTGACCAATATAATCCTTAAAAACAGGGTGAGCAATAGGCCATTTAGAATCGTAAAAACAAGTATCAAATCAGCATATTGAATCAAATGTTCCCAACTTTAAAAGTAAATAATTGGTTAAAATCATAGGTTAAAATACTACAATGATAAAAAACTATTTGGCTTTGAGAGTGTTTGAGAGTTTGTTTATAAATGATTTCAACCGGTTTAAGGAATTACTTACATGTTTTTGTCCCGGTAGTCATAAAGTTTGTAATATGTGAGCGCATTCTCATCCCAAGGTACGGAGCCCGGGAAGTCACCTATGGGGGAAAAAAAAAACAATCCGAGGCGACGGTTTTGCAATCCGTCCCCTCAGTTTATAAACCGTACTCATGGATTCTTAAACTGTTCCCTCGGTTTAACAATTCGTGCCCACGGATTAATAAACCGTACCCACGAGTTCCTAATCCGTGCTCTCAGATTTGTAAACCGTGCCCTCAGTTTTTGCAATCTGTACCCACAAATTCATAAACCGTGCCCACGATTTCGCAATCCGTTCCCACGGGTTTGTAAACTGTACTCACGGATTTGTGGCTCCTCCCCAGTCTGTGCCGGCAGGTTCAATTTCCTAAATTTTCTAAAAAACGAAAGAGAGATGGATGACGCGACCGTGTCAGCGTCCTAACTGTACATGCGCATCAGATACCGGTGTTTACAGGGGTTTCACGTCAGATACCTGTCCTAACTGTACATGCGCATCAGATGCCTGTGTTTACAGGGGTTTCACGTCAGATACCTGTCCTAACTGTACATGCGCATCAGATACCGGTGTGTGTTTACAGGGGTTTTACGCCAGATACCTGTCCTAACTGTACATGCGCATCAGATGCCTGTGTTTACAGGGGTTTCACGTCAGATACCTGTCCTAACTGTACATGCGCATCAGATGCCTGTGTTTACAGGGGTTTCACGTCAGATACCTGTCCTAACTGTACATGCGCATCAGATACCGGTGTGTGTTTACAGGGGTTTCACGCCAGATACCTGTCCTAACTGTACATGCGCATAAGATGCCTGTGTTTACAGGGGTTTCACGTCAGATACCTGTCCTAACTGTACATGCGCATCAGATGCCTGTGTTTACAGGGGTTTCACGTCAGATACCTGTCCTAACTGTACATGCGCATCAGATGCCTGTGTTTACAGGGGTTTCACGTCAGATACCTGTCCTAACTGTACATGCGCATCAGATGCCTGTGTTTACAGGGGTTTCACGTCAGATACCTGTCCTAACTGTACATGCGCATCAGATGCCTGTGTTTACAGGGGTTTCACGTCAGATACCTGTCCTAACTGTACATGCGCATCAGATACCGGTGTGTGTTTACAGGGGTTTTACGCCAGATACCTGTCCTAACTGTACATGCGCATCAGATGCCTGTGTTTACAGGGGTTTCACGTCAGATACCTGTCCTAACTGTACATGCGCATCAGATGCCTGTGTTTACAGGGGTTTCACGTCAGATACCTGTCCTAACTGTACATGCGCATCAGATACCGGTGTGTGTTTACAGGGGTTTCACGCCAGATACCTGTCCTAACTGTGCATGCGCATCAGATGCCTGTGTTTACAGGGGTTTCACGCCAGATACCTGTCCTAACTGTACATACGCATCAGATGCCTGTGTTTACAGGGGTTTCACGCCAGATACCTGTCCTAACTGTACATGCGCATCAGATGCCTGTGTTTACAGGGGTTTCACGTCAGTTACCTGTCCTAACTGTGCATGCGCATCAGATGCCTGTGTTTACAGGGGTTTCACGCCAGATACCTGTCCTAACTGTACATGCGCATCAGATGCCTGTGTTTACAGGGGTTTCACGTCAGATACCTGTCCTAACTGTACATGCGCATCAGATGCCTGTGTTTACAGGGGTTTCACGTCAGATACCTGTCCTAACTGTACATGCGCATCAGATGCCTGTGTTTACAGGGGTTTCACGTCAGATACCTGTCCTAACTGTACATGCGCATCAGATACCGGTGTGTGTTTACAGGGGTTTCACGCCAGATACCTGTCCTAACTGTACATGCGCATCAGATACCGGTGTGTGTTTACAGGGGTTTCACGCCAGATACCTGTCCTAACTGTACATGCGCGTCAGATACCGGTGTGTGTTTACAGGGGTTTCACGTCAGATACTTGTCCTAACTGTACATGCGCATCAGATGCCTGTGTTTACAGGGGTTTCACGCCAGATACCTTTCCTAACTGTACATGCGCATCAGATGCCTGTGTTTACAGGGGTTTCACGTCAGATACCTGTCCTAACTGTACATGCGCATAAGATGCCTGTGTTTACAGGGGTTTCACGTCAGATACCTGTCCTAACTGTACATGCGCATCAGATGCCTGTGTTTACAGGGGTTTCACGTCAGATACCTGTCCTAACTGTACATGCGCATCAGATACCGGTGTGTGTTTACAGGGGTTTCACGTCAGATACCTGTCCTAACTGTACATGCGCATCAGATACCGGTGTGTGTTTACAGGGGTTTCACGTCAGATACCTGTCCTAACTGTACATGCGCATCAGATGCCTGTGTTTACAGGGGTTTCACGTCAGATACTTGTCCTAACTGTACATGCGCATCAGATGCCTGTGTTTACAGGGGTTTCACGCCAGATACCTGTCCTAACTGTACATGCGCATCAGATGCCTGTGTTTACAGGGGTTTCACGTCAGATACCTGTCCTAACTGTACATGCGCATCAGATGCCTGTGTTTACAGGGGTTTCACGTCAGATACCTGTCCTAACTGTACATGCGCATCGAATGCCTGTGTTTACAGGGGTTTCACGTCAGATACCTGTCCTAACTGTACATGCGCATCAGATACCAGTGTGTGTTTACAGGGGTTTCACGTCAGATACCTGTCCTAACTGTACATGCGCATCAGATGCCTGTGTTTACAGGGGTTTCACGTCAGATACCTGTCCTAACTGTACATGCGCATCAGATGCCTGTGTTTACAGGGGTTTCACGTCAGATACCTGTCCTAACTGTACATGCGCATAAGATGCCTGTGTTGACAGGGGTTTCACGTCAGATACCTGTCCTAACTGTACATGCGCATCAGATACCTGTGTGTTTACAGGGTTTCAAGTCAGATACCTGTCCTAACTGTACATGCGCATCAGATACCGGTGTGTGTTTACAGGGGTTTCACGTCAGATACCTGTCCTAACTGTACATGCGCATCAGATGCCTGTGTTTACAGGGGTTTCACGTCAGATACCTGTCCTAACTGTACATGCGCATAAGATGCCTGTGTTTACAGGGTTTCACGTCAGATACCTGTCCTAACTGTACATGCGCATCAGATGCCTGTGTTTACAGGGGTTTCACGCCAGATACCTGTCCTAACTGTACATGCGCATCAGATGCCTGTGTTTACAGGGGTTTCACGCCAGATACCTGTCCTAACTGTACATGCGCATCAGATACCGGTGTGTGTTTACAGGGGTTTCACGTCAGATACCTGTCCTAACTGTACATGCGCATCAGATGCCTGTGTTTACAGGGGTTTCACGTCAGATACCTGTCCTAACTGTACATGCGCATCAGATGCCTGTGTTTACAGGGGTTTCACGCCAGATACCTGTCCTAACTGTACATGCGCATCAGATGCGTGTGTGTTTACAGGGGTTTCACGTCAGATACCTGTCCTAACTGTACATGCGCATCAGATGCCTGTGTTTACAGGGGTTTCACGTCAGATACCTGTCCTAACTGTACATGCGCATCAGATGCCTGTGTTTACAGGGGTTTCACGTCAGATACCTGTCCTAACTGTACATGCGCATCAGATGCCTGTGTTTACAGGGGTTTCACGTCAGATACCTGTCCTAACTGTACATGCGCATCAGATGCCTGTGTTTACAGGGGTTTCACGTCAGATACCTGTCCTAACTGTACATGCGCATCAGATGCCTGTGTTTACAGGGGTTTCACGTCAGATACCTGTCCTAACTGTACATGCGCATCAGATACCTGTG